TTGACCGAAAATGACTGTTTTTCAAAACGCATCAGTTCTTGAGTACACAACCTTCGAATGATAATTTACACAATGTACAAATAACTCAGTTTGCAAAAATTAAGTATTAGTAAGTAAATTGCGCTTAGAACAGACATTCTACTGCACTTTTCACATGTTTCACCGCACTTTTTGTTGTTTACATATCGGACACGATCTTCAAAGATGACACAACTCAAAATTACTCGTCAGAAAATGCGAAAAAACTATTTCTTAGTGCATGTTAGTCATATGGGCAAGGAGACTTTACCTTAGGTTTTTCCAACAAATTATAAATTTTTTTTTTCCAGATTTTGCTGAAAGGTGAGTAAAAGCTCTGTGTACATTTTTAGTGCACTATTTTTATACCCGAGCGCACTTGTGCACAAGGGTATATTAATTTAGTTCACATAACGGTTGTTTGTAACAGCCAAAACTAATCGAGATAGATATAGACAAATGTATACATAAATGATCAGGATGAAAAAAGGAATCGATTAAGCCATGTCTGTCTGTCCGTCCGTCTGTCCGTCTGTCCGTCCGTCCGTGTACACGATAACTCGTGAGATATCTCAACGAAATTAGGTATGTAGGTTACCGCTAATCCAAGGTAGGTTGGTATTGAAAATGGGCGAAATCGGACTGTAGCCACGCCCACTTCCCATATAACGGTAATTTCCAGAAATACGAAAACTGCGATAGTTTAGTAACTACTGAAGACAATTCACTCAAAATTGATATTTACAATAATTTTTAGACGAAAAATAAGAATATTATAAATTTTTGGAAAATGGGCATAGCCACGCCCACTTATGGTTACATGTGTATATCTTGGTAACCGCTGCACCAATTTCTTCCAAACTTGGCACAGTTGTTGGCCTTGGTACAGCATACAAAACAGCCGAACATCCCATATATCGGTAATTTAGAGAAATACAAAATCTTCGATAAATCAGTAAATATTGAAGCTAATTTATTCAAAACTGATGCTTGCAACAATTCTTTACCAAGAAATACGTTTATGGTAAAATTTTGGAAAATGGGCGTGGCACCGCCCACTTATGATCACATATATGTGTATCGGTAACCGTTCCACCAATTTGTACCTAACTCGGTACGGTTATTGTGCTTGCCACATAAAAGCAATACGTTGAAAATTATTGAAATCGGAGTAAAATTGCGGCAGCTTTTCATATAAAGGTAAATTTGAGAAATGCTTGAAACTTCAATATTTCGAAATTGAAGGACGCTAGTTTACTCAAAATTGATGCACCCCGGCTTACCATCTAGCGGTAGGTTTCGAAAAGGTGAAAAAACATATATTTAATACTTGCGCCGGGTACTTAATGTTCGGCTCCGCCCGAACTTTGACTTTCTTACTTGTTAATATTATAATTTAAAAATTCCAAATTTTGAGTTGTCACTTTTGCAGATCGTGTGTGATATGTACAACTAGGTACATCGGGAGCATTCTACTGCAGTTTTAACATTCATATGTACATATGTATATATTTGCACTGCACTTTCTTCTTTTTACCTACATATGTACACATTTAGGTAGTTGCAGCTGGAGCATTCTACTGCATTCTTTAAATACACTTATAATTTTTGTTTATATACGTCCATGTGTACACATGTAGGTATTTGCAGCTCCACTTCATCAAGTGCACTTGCACTACACTTTGTAAGACAGCCAAAGGCTGGCATTCTATTGCACTTTTTTGTTATTGCTTACACAGATACAAGTCGTCAGTGATACTGCAAAACGTTCATCGACATCAGCCAAAGGAAGATATTTTCGTCATTAGGAAAGTTTTGCAGTATCACCGACGATATGACCACAAGTAGGTACATATTTATTCGCGGCTGAACAACCGTGTTTCTTAATATATATTTAAAGAATAAAACTCACCGAACAATGTTGGTAGCTGAATATTAAACTATTGGTGCCGTGGAAGGTGCTGATGGGTTGAAAGTTCTGATGGCGTCAAGATTCTGATGCCGTGGAAAGTTTTGTGTGCGTCCAAGGTGTTGATAACGTTGAAGGTGCGCAATCAAAAAGAAAAAACTATATTTTTAATAAAATTGTTAACAAAGTATTCTTACCTCCAAAAGTGCTTTGTGCGTCCAAGGTGTTGTTGGCGTTGAAGGTGCGCAATCAAAAATAATAAATTATATTATTATCAAATAAAATTGTTAACAAAGTATTCTTACCTCCAAAAGTGCTGTGTGTGTCCAAGCTGTTCATGTCGTTGAAGGTGCGCAATCAAAAACACAAAATTATATTTTTATCAAATAAAATTGTTTACAAAGTATTCTTACCTCCAAAAATTTCCACAAAAGTGACGCTTTTCTTCGCAGCCTACTATGATCAAACTTCAAATTCGCTGTCAAATTTCGCCTGACCTTCACTTGCTCGCTCTAACGCATGGAATTCTTATTAAGAGTACGAATTCTTATTAGCTACGCTGCTCTAACTTAAGTAATTTTTTTTCGACAGATTTTAAGTGTGTGCGTGAGATGACTAAAAAGTGTTATATGTTTTTGTAAATTGTTTGAATTTCAGGGGAAACTGCAATAAGTTGTGCTCGTTGTAGGTGACACTTTTTTCTCCAAATATGAGAGGGAAGTTTTGAACGAACTGTGATAATATGTTTTCTGCGATATTAATATTTTTAAGTAACTTTTTGGGCAAAACAATAACCTACAAGCGCAATGCAGAAGTAGAAACGCCTAGTAAATATCAGCTGAAACATAATCTTTGAGAACGTAGACACCAGTATAGAGGAGAAATTGGCGAAATTCGGTGGCCTTCCAATGTAAAATATCTTCAACCCTCTTGGTTCCCTTTCGAATTCCTGGCAAATATGGTGCTTCGAAAACTTTAAGCTATTGGAAATTTTGATTTTGTTCTCTTTTGCTACCTTGTTGTTTATTTTATCTTACAAAATTCGCAGAAGAAATTTTCGCATTATCCCTAAATCGATTAGGTGTATGATGTCTAAGGCTACCTGGCTAATCATTCTTATTCCAATAATTTCTAAAGGTGTATTTTTGTTCTGATAAAGTGGCAAATGATGCATAAAATACTTTCTTCATCAGAAATTAACTCCGCGCTTTCTACCGTGTACCGTGTCTATTTTACGCCCAACTTGAATACATTTCTCACATCCAGATGCTGATGTATGACCTGAAGTGCCACAAATAAGTGCCTTTGCGGGGGCATCGCATACAATCGACCGTATCCTAACTTTAATCACCTTTGCTAGTAACTCTATTCCATTTTCTAAAATATTTCTCATTTCTTCCAAAAATACTGGTAAGTAGCTTTCTATGGTAACCGGATTCTTTGCCCCCCAAATAAATTCCAACAGGAAAAGCCGAAATATTGTCGACGTTTGCTATTCTCAACATCATTGGCCATAGTTGAGCACGGGAACTTCTGAATAAGGGAAGGCAATCTATATTAATATCCACTGATATTGAATCATAATTTATTAAAACATTAGCTATGACAATAAAAGTCGGATGCAACTTTTTCGATAATGGCCTTCTGGCTTGAAATCAAAGACTTAGAATTTCGCGGGGCGGCTTATTTCGAATATACCACTGCACTATTTTTTCTTCAAAAGTTAACTTCTTTGCACTTTCTCCTCTTCACATTCGTTTTCCTCACTAAAAAAAAAAGTGCCTCTGTTGCAGGCTCACTGGCAATTGCCGGCTGCGCTGCCACCTTTGCGGCTTCTAACACTGCATTACTTTCACCCCTCAATCTGTTTAAATAAATTTCCTTCTGTCTTTTTATATGCATCTTGACAGTCCGCTTACTCATTTTGCATTAAAATATTTAAATAATTACTTCTTTTCTTTTGATAATTCCACAAACAAATCTCTTTGTCACTTTTCTGCTAATGACGCCACTTTAAAGATGCCGAAAACTAACTAAACGAAAAATCTCGTTAGCTGCCGCGTGTTGTAGCCGAGCCGTTTACGGATCAGTGTTGCCAGAAAATCATTTTGTTTGGAACTAAAAAGAGCTAAATAGTACAACCGCCAGTTTCACCAGCAATTTAAATGAAAAGTGATTTCGTATTTTCTGTCAATTTCCATATAACATTCAAAAACTTAACATCATTTTTTACTTAAATGGCTTCCGTGAAATTGGCTGCAATATTTGAAAAGATTTGAGCTTTTATTGAAGTACAAGTAGTGAAGTTTTTATATTTTTCGTAATTTTAGTAAAAACAACGAATACATTAAAGTGCTGAAAAAAACTTTTAGGTGCATATACTTTGAATTCGTATCTGTGGCACTTAAAACACTTATATGTATGCACATACTTATATAAACTAGGTAATGAACTAAAAATACTTTACAAACTATTAAGATCTGCAATTTCAGATATATGAATTGACCATAAAAACTCAGGTTACGAATCGTTTGTTTGCAAAATTTTTCTGAAAAATTTTCTTTCCTTCCCTTATTAAAGGTAAAATTATTAAGCTAAAAACAAAATCCACGTGATCAGAAAAAGGATTTTCTTCTAATTAATTTTTGTATTCTTTAATCTAGATCCCAAAGTTTATGGTAGAGTCTGTATTTTCCCGTGGATAAAAGTGTATGTTTTTCCACTGTATTTCGAAATTTGTAATTTTATCAACGCTTAAGTCTTAACTTTCCTTTTTTACCGTCTCCGCCTGAGATAAAATACACCGACTGGGCTTATCGGAGCTCGAACTACTGTCCGGTATGGTTTATGCGAAATAGAATATGATACATGAAGGTATCGAAAATAGGCTGAGTTCACCAAAGCCAAATAAATTCTAGTCAATACTTATGCAATGATATTACAGATTTGTAATTTTAATTTGTTACCAAATACAACTAAAACTTTCTGGAGCTAAAAAGTGCTAGGTAATTTTGAAAAGAGCTAAAAAAAGGGATAGGAGCTAAAGCAGTACATTGTGCGCGCACGTTGATGTTTGCAGAGATAAACGAATGGAAGTTAGATTCGAATTTTTTACACTTCGTCTGCCAGCAGAAATCGGAATTTTTTAAGTATCCAGTGTCCATCATCGCATAACAAAGCAACCAGTCCAAGTTTTGTCCTGTTAGATACTATCTCTGAACTAGTAACTTTATTTACACTTGCGCACTGCAGGGAATATTAAGACTGCATTTTTACATGCATATGTACATACCTACGCATGTACATAGTTTATGTATTGTTAGGCACAATGAAAACATCTGCTAAAGGAAAACAACTACGAAGTAAACCTATTTTACGTTTTCTCATTATAAACGCTCGACTGCTCATTGTAAATTTATGTTTTCTCGTTCTCAGTTTACTTTTATTCATTCTTTTTTACGTTTTCTAATTATTAATTTAATCATTCTTAATATAATTAATATTTTCTCAATACTAAGACAGGTTTTCTCAATACAATTTACGTTTTATCATCATAAATTCACGTTTTCTCATTATAATTTACGTTTTCTCATTACTGGGTGTAGTTATATAAAAAGAAAAAAGCAAACGCAGTCTCCAAAAAAAATTCTCAAATATCAACGATTTTTAGCCGGTAGAAACTTACTCTGGCTAAGTTGACGTGTTGAGTATTTCATTTCGTTTCATTTCATTTCATTTCATTTATTTAAGTCTATGGTTACAAAAACCTTACAGACTAGAATACAAAAATTGTCGTAATACTACAGATTAGAAACTAAAACGAAAACGTGACGATTTCTTAAGTAAGATAAGTTAAGTCAAGACTAACTGAGCTATAAGTTCCATTGAATCTCTTTTTCGATTTGAGTTATTATTCTTACAAACAACCCTTTAAATTTTGTGTAGCTGTGTTGAAAATTCGAATTAAATAGAGTTTGCACCACCAAATTTCGAATCGAATAATCGAAGGGTTGGGCAGTGTTCGAAACTCTGAAATTTTCAACTCCCCACTACCCATCCCTAGCCTCTTCTCCACAGCGATGGGAACTGTTTTTTTTTTAAATTTGTTTTTTGTGTACCGCAAATGTAACATGCACTTTTATCTTGACGAATAAAATGCATCAACAAACTTGTTTTGTTTATTTCTCTCTCACACACACGCTCTATATTTTTTCAAACAATATTTTGGTAATAAATCAAGCTTCTAATAATAATGAAACATAAATAGTTTTTATTCGGGATATTGTGGGGAAAATCTGACTGGAGTGTATGTGCAAACGCCAATAAAAATGCAACCTTACTTAGGGCCTAGATCACGCTTAGATAGGTTTTCCTATTCTGTTATATGGGAGGCAGGCGTGGTTATTGTCTGATTTTGCCAATTTTCAACACCATCCGTTGTATGCTGATAGGAAGTACACATACCAAGTTTCGTTAAGATATCTCACTTTTTACTCGAGTTATCGTGTGCACAGTCGGACGGACGGACAGACAGTCACCGCTTAATCGGTTTCATTTTTCATTCTGATCATTTATGTATACATTTGCCTATATCAATCTCGATTCATTTTGGCTGTTATAAACAACCGTTATGTGAACAAAGTTATAATACCCTTGTGCACAAGTTCGCTCGGGTATAATTAAGGTACATGTTTAAACAAAAAATGCAAGAATGAATTTTTAACCTACCTACTTGCATATCATTCTTGCTATTTCCTTTATGTAGTTGTTATATTTTTCGGATGTGCTGCCTTTAATAATATTTTACAGCAAAATGTTTAAAACAGCACTTGGTTGCATCTTCGTTGACTGCTTCTTTTCAAACATCGAAAACCTCGCAAAACACAGGCAACCTTATTCTCAGCCCACAAACTCTAAATTGAACATTTTTGTTGCCCACAAAGCTTGAATACCACTAAATGTAACCAATTATAGCTAATTTATAGCTCTACTTAGGCCCACTTGCAGAACAGCAGGTTATCTATTTAACTCGAAGTTTACCGGTTAAATTGATAAATTGGCTTGCACAACAGTAGGTTAGGCATTAACTCAGAGATGAAAACTTAAATAGTTAACCCAAAATTTTGAGGGTTAAATGGTTAAGTTTGTGTCAGTTCTGCCGAAAACTAGAAACACAAATAAAATTATAAAAATAAATAAATAAATGAAAAGATGGACGAACTGGTGCATTCTGACGATCATTGATTACGTCAACTCAGATTTCTATAATAGATCAACAGCGGAGCGAAGCGATCATTAAAATGCTCTGCGAGATAAAGCATTCCACAGGAGATCTCGCTTGCAAAAGGAAAGCGTTATTTTCCTTTTAGACAAGCTTAAAACGCGGTTAGAATGCTCAAAGAGTTTGGTACTTCGGCTCAATTTATTCACATTAAACAATAAGTTAAGTTTTTATAATTTTGTTGCAAACTTTCCATGGTGCGGCAGTATCCTGTGGAAATCGAATTGAATTCCTACGTCACCTCTATCCACGCCCTTTGCTTTGCTAAAAGGCTAGTGCCATCGTTTTTTTTTATTTTCTGGGATATGCA